CTGAACAATCCCAGCTCTCCCAGCCTTTCCTCCCAGCAGAGCTGCTCCAGCCCTGGGATCCTCTTGGTGGCCTCCAAGAGGTCACTGCACGAGGTCCCTCAACCATTGATGGGCCTCACACACCACCCTGCAGAGTCTTTGTGGCCCCAAAACACCAAAACACACAGTGGGGAAAACCCCCTGCAGGGACAGAAGGAGCTGAGGGAAAAGCCTGGGAAGAGGGAAGGCAGGAGGACAGAGCAGTGCCTGGGGCTGAAGTGTCCCAACAGTAAATCCTGGGGCCACAGAGACCACCCGGAGCAAGGAAGGACAACGACAAATCCCAGCTCTTCTCCAGGCTGAACAATCCCAGCTCTCCCAGCCTTTCCTCCCAGCAGAGCTGCTCCAGCCCTGGGATCATCCAGGTGGCCTCCAAGAGGTCTCTTTGCTCTGTGGGAAGCTTTGCTGAGGGCCAGGGAGTTTGGGCCCCCCTGAGCCACCTCAGAGGGGCTGAGGGACAGTCCCTTCCCTACAGAGGGGAGACACCAAGAGCAGAAGGATTTCTCCTGAGGAGAAGCCAAAGCAGAGGTCGGGTCCTCTAAGGGCTGGCAGGTTCCACTCCAGCCACTTCCCGGAGTTTCTCAGGGAGGGATAGGACCTTCCCACCCAGGGCGAGGCTGATCCTCATCCCTATGGACACAGGGAAGTGAATTCCTTAATTTCTTCAGGCCAACCAAGCCCTCCAAGCTGTGGAAAGCTCCCAAAAAGAGCCACTTGATCTCAAGTCAGTCCCAGCCACGAGGAGTTTGCTGCAGCCTGGGGCAAGAGGGGGTGGATTTTCAGCATTCATAAGAAATTGGGGGGATCTTTCAAACTGGAATTCGGGAATTCCTTGGATTTTCGGCCCAGCCTTGTGTGCACAGACAGGAGGATGAAGGTCCACATGCAGATTATACTGAATTATATGAATTCAGATTATACTGATATTATACTCTCACACATGCTCAGCCATAGAGGATAAAGGCAATTAATGAAATTATAAGCAAATATAAATACAAATTGCCTTAAAACTTTTCTCTCTGTAAAATCTCTCTGCTTTTGCTTTGATTCAGAACAAAAATTGCTCTACTCTTCCAATAGGAAATAATTACGGAGAGAAACTCACCTTTCCCCGTGTCCTTTTCCAGGAGATTCAGTCGGGATTTCCAAATTCCACTGGGTAATAAGGCGATGATCTCCAAAAGAGAGCAGCCTCCAGCCTGCTGGAC